AGAGAAAAAAAAATTCTCAATGACAGCTCTATCTAAAAGCAGCCACCGGGATGAGGCTGTTTTATCATCGTTAGGGGAGACAGAGCGCCGGGCTAATGGGGACAGGGAGATCATTAGTGCTCCTGATGGCTCCCCAGACGGATAAATATCCCTGCCTGGCAGAGGGGGGACGCAGTTATCCATGCCTGGTGCTGGATTTTGGAGTGGGAGCGAGGTGGCTCCAGCCTCCGCTCCCACATTCCGGACTGTGGGATTTCTGCAGCCCGGGAAGAGGATCCAGCAGAGTTCTGCGGGTCTGGAAAAGGCCCAGGGCTTGCAGGGGGGGAGTTAGAGGAGCAGAAAGTCCTGTTTTTCAGCCAAGAATGCTTTTGTCTTTAGCTAAACATCCTCCTAGGCTGCTTTTCCGTGTCCCTCGGAGGCTCAKGGAGGCCCTTTCTCCTTCATTTTTGGGCTGCTGGCTCCCAAATTTCCCCCACTCATCTGAAGATTCCCTGGGGCAAAGGCACGGCGACCAAGAGCCATTTAATGGCCATTTAAGAGGTGCACCTTTCTTTTTTCAGATCATTTATTCCCTTCCCTCCGMTCCCTGCCAGAGCCCCTCCGGCGTTTCCTTCTTTAAACAGAGCGAGACGCAAAAATCCCCCGTATTCCGTGACAAATAACCTGGTTTGTGGGCACTGCTGATCTCCTGCGTTAATCAGCGGGGTTAATTGGATTGATGAGCGCGCTGGCCCGCGTTCAGAGCAGCTGCTTCGCATCGTTAGCCCTGTTTAACGAGAAGATTTGCCAGAAATGGCTTTTTCCACCTGGATATGGCAGTGGGACGCCCTGGGCGTTGGGACAGTGACAGAAGAACCTGGCACAAATACAGGGCATTCCCAAAAAAAAACAGGGAAAAAAAATCCCAAAAACAGCAGCATTCCCTACAAATCCATCCCAGGAGTGCTGGGTGGAAGYGTCCCGGGATGAAACAGAGGATAAAAATACCGGCACCCTCGGCTCCCTGCTCGAAAAAGGGCTCAGAATTCCAAAGAGAAGAGAAAAAAACATTTCCCAGTTTTTTCAGGCACAGGGAAGTGGGAGAGAGGAATTAGACCAGGCTGGGCAGGGATTGGAGTGCCCTGGGGCAGTGGAAGGTGTCCCTGGGGTGGGACGGGATGAGATTTAAGATCCCTTCCAACCCAAACCCTTCTGGGATTGTCCGATCGTCGCCTGTGCAGCACAGCGAGGGCAGGGTGCTGAAATCTGCCAGCAATCCCATAATTCAGAACATTTCCAGTCATTCCAGGTGCCCTTGAG